AAAACGTTTAAACGAATGAATAGCTATTTAGTGTATCGTGTTAAGAGCGACGCAATTCCTGATTGCCACATCTCCACATTTTTTGGCACTGTGGGAATGTTACGACTTAGAAACCTTATGATCAGCAATTCAATTACTCTCAAGGTCTCTTAAGAGTAATCATTTCTTTTACTTGCTTACTGGCAGAAGAAGAATAGAATAGAAAATCGATTTCTAATCAGAAATCACTGAGTCATCATAATATTAGACATGGGCAGTATCCTCTAATCAGCGATGGCCAAAAACGGTAACATGTCATAATGAGGTTACCTGTAATTAGAGGCGCCGCGCTTCAGCGAAACTCTGCCCGTAATCTCGTCATCCTGTGAAACGGCGAAAGGTGGAACGTACAACACGGACTGTCTCCAGTGCGTTGGCCTGAAACCGCTTAAAATTATGGAAAGAAACATTCTGACAACCTCACTCGTCGTATGGCGAGGTCGACAGATGTTCGTTGCCTGGAAAGTCGACCCGGAACCACATGCAAAAGCCATGAATCATCGCATGACCGAAACACTTTAGTTGAAATTCGCTCTGTGAAACGAAAACAAGCAAAGGATTAACGGTTGCTACTGCATGGAGAAACTCACTTGTACATCTTCCAGATCGCCTGGCTGAACCGTGTACAAGTCAAGGTCCAAAATCGGGACACCTCGAGTCATCACCTCTTCTGGAAGAACTTCGTGAACAATGATTTTTCCTAAAATATATTAGCGTTTAGATAAAGCTTAAGTCCTCCAAGACCAGACTTAACGGTGTATTGCGCCGCCTGCTTGGTCTTAGTTGCTTAGGGGTGGGGGTCATTTAAGCAAGCCATGGTTGCGCGGTAATTTGAACACCTCCACTGCCAGTTGCATTTGGCATCAGTTTATTCGCGCGAGCCATCTCAGGCTCATTACGAACGATTTTTTTTCAGAAGCTGGTATTGCTTATATGCTACCGCATAGACGTATGCCCCTATGCTGAAATATATCAGATAACCGATAACTCGTCCAAAACCAGATTTTTGGTAACGTCTAGCGAGTATAGGAAATGTTCGTGATACTGGACGAGTCATTGCAGAAAGATGGCTGGGCAAGTTTATATATTTGTCATCTATGCCTCTGTTGCTAAGGATAATGAAAGATGGGACCGTCTGATATACTTCTACGCCTACCGCTTAGAATTGTTTGAAAGTCTCGCTCTGAATCCAGTTTTTTTCTATGAAAGTCTGAAGATATTGCCTCACTGTTTTAACTAGAATATGAAAGGTAGCAAAAACTGGAATAAAAACAACCTTTTTTGAAGAACCTCACCGTGACTGGAGGTCGATACTTATAAAAATTTGATAAGTTTTATATTCGTAATTATCAGCTGCCTATCTGATAATAATCTGATAATCTGTTCCATAATTTGTGAGGCTACTCGAACAAGCTGTATTGTCCTCGTGTCCAGCAGTGATTCTTTGGGTCGCAGGAATGCGACGGTGGGACTCGATGACGAATGTCTAGAGGCACAACGAGATCACCATGAGCCAAAAGGTTTATCGGCGTCTTTCTGTGGTGTATTAGAATAACATTAGTGCCGCGGCTGATCATTTCAGTGATGGGGAGGAATTATCCTTTGAGGTTGACGAAATTCAGCCCGTTTGTTATCGAGCCTTCCTTCTCTTACTCGCTATGCTGAAGAGCTAAAGGTCATTGCATCAACCCGCACAGTACAGTCTCAACTTTATAAATGTAAACCAGTAAAATGGTAGTCCGACAGTGGACGATCGATGACCCGACACGCTAGATTTACGATGATGTTGGTCAGCGTGGGAAGACCGAGAGGACGCAGTGTGTTAATAACTTTTTTTCATGAGAATTTTTCTTAAAGTTTTTAACTTTTGCCAGAAAAGAAGTCACCATTACGGCAGGTTGCACATTTCTCGACACCCTGACTACCGGTTGTTCGTTTTTTAACACTCTGGCGGCTTTTAGTTTTTACCGATGAAGATGGAGTCACCTTTTCGTCACTGACGTCAGCTGTTGATATTTTAATACTCTGGCTTCCTCCGACATCCAGCAACGGAGAAGGCGCCTCTGAGTTTACGAAAGACGCAAAAACATTTTCTACGAACGTTTCTTCATCAGCCGTTTCTTGTGCTGTCATTAATTCGTCAGATTCCCGTTCTTTAGCTGCTCGGCTGCCGATAGTCTTCAGCGGTGACACAGGAGATGAAGATATGTTATTCATATTCACTTTATCATCATGGGTATCTTGCGCCATCAGAAAATCACCACTGTCCCGATTTTCAGTGTTCGACACAGTGGATGTGTTGATCGCGTTTGATGAAGAAGCTGACAGCAAACAATTATACATAGCTGAGCAAACTTCTCCAGTAGTTTTCACTTCGCCATCGATTTTAGGTTTTTCAGTCGCGTTTTGACTTCTTCCACACTAGTACCAGCTGAACCACCAGCAACTTTTGAAAACATCCGGCTTGAAATTTCGACGGAAGGTGAAGAAACGTTTTTCAAATGGAATGTTTACTTCCCAGTTCTGAGTTCTTTATAGACATAATCGATTTTGGACACTATTAGACTAAAGTTTTCCGTCGTCTTAGGAAATCGCGCGATGATTAAATCATTCCGATCAGTAGAATAAACTTTTCTTTTTCTGTGCACCTCGGGTTCTTTCACCATGTCATCGACCATTCTCCTTTTAACTGCTGAAGGAGAGCTTCCTACTGTCTTTCGTGAGGATTCAGGGATGGACATTTTTTTGGAGGCGGAAGAAACAGTTTCCAAGGTTGTTACCTGTCTTATCTACTGCGGGACCTTTCAACAGATCATCACAATTTTCTCTTGTGAGTACTGGACTTAGGATAGTCTCCAAGAAAGACGGAGGACTTGACTCCTTTCCAGGGACTGAAGAAACAGGTGTCATTTGTGTTGTTTGTTTATTCATTTCGGGTCCTTTCACGACGTCGTTTGCAGCATTGTTATCCGCACTGAGCGAAGTGCTCATTAAAGATTCTGGGCTCGAAGTTTCCTCTGAAGTAAAAGAATCGTGTTCTACGGGTGACTTCACTTCACCAAATTCCTTTTCTTTAGTTGCACTTGCAGGTTTTAATCTTTTAGCCCTTGGACTACTACTTGCCTCCTTGGGAGGCGAAACGGCATTCACAGATTTTTCAAACGCTGACGAAGAAATCTTCAGTGGTGTTTTCTCCATAACCACTGCGATATTTTTCACCGATGTTTTTCGTTTAATGCTCGGACGCCGCAACATTTGCATCGATGATGACCGGCTGGCCATCTCCACAGTTGGTAAAACGTTTTCGAGATGTGAATTTTTTGCCATAGCGTTTGCATTTTCGGCTGTCTCGTCGTTCTGCTGTTCTTCAGCGTTTGGGCTAATGACTGATTTTAACGAAGCAAAATGAAAGGAATTATTTGTATCGTTTCATTCTGAATAAAAGGCCTCGTTCGCAGCCGTTTTCTCAACTACGGCAGCTTCTTCATTTTCGAACGTTTCGTTGTCTTCACTTATGTTCATTATCACCATATCTGTCAGCTGAGTGACGCAGATAACGATGTCGGATTCAGAATCGCCATTCTTGTAACTCGTTTGTGTTCTCGACGACGGTAAAGTGTTCGAGGTTTCGGCCAAGCTTGTTGCAGTATCCACTTTAACAGCGGGAGCGCTCCTGTTCTTTTTCCAATTCCGTTTCAGTCGTATCGCTGTCAGAAACCAGGCCGATTGCTTCAATACTTTCAGAAGTACTCTCGTTGAGCGTATCCGTTTTCTCCTCACTCTCTTCAAACGTTTCCCTCAAAAAACATGGAGCCGTCACCCTCTGATTCGACTTGATCGCTGAACCATAGATATCATTGGAGGTATCCTCCATTTTTGGGATGATATTTTTAAAAATTTTAGCCGGTGAGTGTCGATTGGGGGTGCCAATAAGAGGGGACGACGATGCAAACAGTTGTTCTAGACCGTTGTATGTTTTGTCCAGATTCACCAGTATATCGCACGCCGGGCGCTGATTTCCGTACTGTCGAGAACTGACACCTGAACGACTTTAGAAACTTGCTGAGCGCGGTCCTTTCCAACTTCAGCGGAAGAAGAGATGACATTGTGGTTAGATTTACTTTGTTTCGACGGCAGTCGCACGCCGTCAATCTCTTCATCTTAGTGGTAGATTGTGTCTTCTGGCAGAGGTAAATTCACTTAGCAGTCAGTTTCTTCTACAGTAGGAGAAAAACATAAAGGAGTTCCTGAAGAAAACCGTTTTTGCAACACAGTGAGCGGCATCAGCGGGTAATCTTCTAGCACCTGCTTGGGCAACGCTGTGGATTTTAGGGGCAGATCTGGAGTACAAGCAACTGAAGAAAAATCGTCGATAGTCGACGAGGATGTCATGGCGGTTGTTGAAGCTTCAGACCAGGTCGACATCGCTCCAAGTTGAGCCTTCGGTGGTTCTCGACTATTTTCCCGTTCATCGGCGACTGTATGAGTCTGACAGTGTCTGAACAGTCTGTGCATACGACCGTTGTTCACGGCTTTACTTTCAGTGCTTGGTTGCTGCGTATTTATTCCGTGGACAGGAGTGTGACCTGGCTGGAGAGAGCAACGCCGGCACAGCCACGATATCTCGGCACAGTCGACGGTGTGCGCACTCGGTGGCGATATCTTATATACGGCGAATGCTCTAAATATTCGAACTTGAACGAACGATGTTCAACATGGAATATGTCGCACATTTGGAACCCGTCTGTCAAATATTCGAACTGCGCGGTGACTGGCCAGGTTCTGGCAGTTGAAAAAGGCTTGGCCATTATGATTGAATTCCACCGCGCAGTGTTCCTTTTCAACGGCATTTGATTTTTTACGGATGTTGCATGTCGGTGATCTTCCAATCAAGCAAGTCCGTTTGTCCATCTCATAGACACCGCCGAACTCATTGTTCGGCTTAATGATCGTAATTCTGCCATATATCGGGCTCATATCCTTTCACCCAACCATAAAACATGAACAACAATCACTTTTTTATACAGACACCGTACCTTCCTTTATCTTCTGCGAGCTGTGCTCAGAGAGGCCTATTCGAGGCATAATGGCATCCATAATGGCTGGATGAGAAAAATTTAGAAGAAGAAGCGAGAAGCGTTGGTGGACGTACGATTTACCATTCACCAGTGTCATCCTCTGCTCAGACTCGTGACAGCAAGAATGTTGATGTTTTGGCAACATTACAAAATCAGAGTTCACCATATTTGTATCCACTTGCGGCCAAGGATGTTTGCTTAATTTTCTGATATCACGTAGGACGCGCCGGTTCTTACTATACATAATTTGTCATCGACTGAAAGGACAGACCACATTTCATTATGCTTTCTGTGGAGTTTAACAAATGTGAAAACAAGTTTGTGCTCAGAACTGTCGTATAACCACGCGGTCATAAACTGACCACTTCGGGGTCCATGACAGATCCAACGGCTGTTACAGCGACCTCGCCGTCCCGCGGCCTATTTATCCGGCAAAGCGTTGTTAAGTTGCTCTGAAGATGTGAATGAATGACTAGTCGGAAGGTCATTTTTTGATCGATGGGTAGACGAGAAATTTTTTCAGCAAGTTTCTTTAGGGCAAACCTATATGGTTCTTCCATCCATGTATATGTTCAGGATGATACTTTTCAAAACAGGCTTTAAGTGCGCGAGGAGGCTCTCAACATCTGAGTACCACTGAGTCAGGATGAGAAGAGCTTTCACAGTATTGGTGCTGCGGTGCTATTCCTTATTAAGATTGTTCACTGTTCTGTGAAAGGACCACCGGACACCAAATTATGAAGATACTGGACTGGAGGTATTAAGCATTAGGAAGCAGACTGATCATAGAAATTTACGTGAGTTATGTCTGTTGACTAAGGCAAGCAGATGTTGTGACTTCGCTGTTTATATAATAAATAACTTTTGAGGCTCAGTGATAAGTGGTTGCGCAATTCCCACGACAGTACATGCCTGGTACTTTTTTTATAGACTGGATCGCTCTGTCGGTACAGAGTCGAACTCGCAATCGAGAGGTCTCGGTCACTCGCCTTTCTTTTTTTCGAGGTTGATAAATTAGTACCACTCTGTGGGAAGCTGCAAAATTCGACTCTGCCTTTAAATAATAGCACTCCTGGCTGATGGCATGCAAATGGAAATGAGCACCCCACCATTAGTTTCAAGAAAACAAGGAGCCAGAAACGGGACAGTGATGGCAATGTAAGGAAGACCAACACGGGCACTCCCACGGCTAGCTTCTTTTTTTCCGTTTATATTGGTAAATAAACGGGTCTTTTAAATATATAACTTTTAATAAAACACATTGCTTTATGTTTCGTTATTTTCCGTTCGAAATCCTCAATGGAGAAGTGTAAGCACAAGGATATGAATTGACAGTATGCTGCCATAGTGAGTCAAATCAATGCGAGATGCAACGCAGGGAGGATGAAATGATAACGAATCGTAATTTAATTGACAAACTTGTTTAGTGGAGTGCCTCTGGACGATGCGACGTGCCGCTTTTATATCTCTTATTCGGTTGTCGGCTGGCCCCGCTGTCACCAAACGTCGATTATTCAATAAGGAAGTCGAAGAGCCCCCGCGAAGCACCCGTGTTTGTAACCGATTTACAGCACGGTCCGTCGGTTCGGTGTCGGCAGGGGGTGAAGAGCCCGCCGAGGATGTTAATCATTAGAAACTCGGACGACGATCGATTTAAGTGCTTATGAGGAAGAGTAAGGTTTCGAAGAGGGAAAACCGCCGACCGTTGTCCACTTAGAAAACGAAACCAAGCCGAACGACCAACGGCTGCCTGGTTGTTCCTAATTTAATGACGGTGAGGTTGTTAAAACGTTCCAAATGCTTTGACGACGATAAAGTGATAATTGACTCATCGTCTTTGCATGAAATATGTGATGACTGGTGAATCATTCATCCGAAGAGGTCGCATGCAGAAGTTCAAGGACAGACACCGGAGCGCTAATGGATTTTTGCTGTGTTGCTGTGAGACAGTGGACCGGCCCAGTAACAAGCGATAGGCCGTATCAAATAAGCATTCGGCGAGGCGTCTAAATCAATGGCTAAACAGGCTAAACCAAAAAAGCTGTTATGAATAAATAAAAAGTGGTCGCCTGTCATAAACGGACGGATGCAGCCCAGCGGTTGGCACAGACATTCGTTGCGTCAGCAAAGGAACCATGATTGACGGACGGCTGCCATTTTTTGCCAGGGATGAAAAATCATCGGAGGTCGTAACTCGTCTCCCTTGCCACGTCACACAGGGCAAGATATGAGCGAGACAACGAAAAACAACATGGCCGTCGGTAGTCGACGACTTAATTAGTGTGGCAGCAGCTGGCATGCACCCAGAGAGTCCGAAGAGCGATGATGGATGACAGTTGGCGATGGGCGATCATGACCACAGATAAGCGGCCGATGCTGATCCAATGACAAGAAACGAAACTCGGTTGTCGCTGTTCCTCTCGAGCAATTCCGACATGTCGAACGAGGCGAGACATATCCCGGGCAGAGTAGAAATGACAGCAACGATGAGGTGCAAGGAGGATGAATCTGAAATCGCCACCAAGGTCCCGTGGAGGAAGACTACGAAATCGTATCAAAAGCCCTGCTAAAAACAGGAGCTTCTGTAAACACTTTATTCCCAACGAATTCACGTAGACTTGTGTGTACTTCCAGCTGCCATACTGAGGTAACGAACAAATTAAGAATTCTAATAGAATTAAGGGACAACTCGTTTTTTATACAACATAAAGGATAAACATAAATAATCGTACAGAAGAGCCATTATGCAAACAAAGTAATGTGACACGCAGCAAAATCTAACCCTTCTACAAGCGACTAACAAGAAAAGATATGAAGACCAAGGGATGAGTAAGATTACTAACAAACGTCTACGATGTCGTTGCCTGAGTGAAGAAGTCAAAGTAGCAATTTGCAAAACACGTCGCAGAAAAACCATCGCTGAACCAGAGAGACGTTAGACGAAGTTCAAAGAGAGAGAGTAAACAGCTAGTAGGAAGACCTCCAGATTGATGGCAGTATGAATTGAAGAAAACATCAGTTTATTATTAAGTCCGAGAGACCTTCATCCAACAAGGAATTCAATAAAGCTGATAAGGGTGATGACATCTTCTTTAAAACAATAGTCCTCTTAGTAAAATCAATTTTTATTTTTCTTTCGGTAATCTCAGTTTGACACAGAACTCATCCTGAGAGATCTCATTCCTTCATTTATTCATTAACTTTTAAGACGGCCTATCACTGCTTTCGGATCGCAGGGGCAACAGCTTCACAGGAAGTTTTTCTTCTCTTTAATTATTAAGCCTAATGATCTGCATTTCGAAACGATGTGATCATCAGCGTTTGTAAAAACATTATTTACGCTACCATCGCAGCAAGAAGTGAACTATGTTACATTAAGAGTATAGCTATAAGTACTGATGCTAAACCGAACCAGCTGGTAGTTTCTCTGAGGACGTGGACTGCTTCTCTGATAATCTACTTCCTACAAAATTCCGTTGAAACAGACGTGTTAACATAGCTGAGTCCGGTATAACTGTTAGTGTTTAGAGTGATGATACCATCCTTAGAGGTAGAGACTGAAACTGACGATTTTTGGTTCAGTCAGAGCCGACTATTACTGAGCTTACCTCTCAGGAATGTCACCTCCATGTTTAAGTTTAGGACATGGTCAGGCGGAGTCTTAGGCAGTGAAGTGGTCAAAGTGCACCTCATCATTCTATACTGAAAAGTAAGTTAGTTTCAGTCCGTAGCTGTATAGATTGGTTACCACTCTGGCGATGGTAACACGGTAACATATACACTATCGGACAGGCACTAAATAAGAAAATAATGTAGAGGATGTGTGGTTATTCGCTAGGCTGTTTCCCCGTACAAATGCTACGTGCAACTGCTGATACAGCGACGTGCGATGCCAAGTCATTGGAAGTCCCATATCTCATCTATACTGAGAGATGTTTCGTGCAGCTGCAGTTACATAGCGTAGCTACGAACCACTGCAGCTCTATAAGTGAGAAGAGGTAAGTGTGCTGTTAATTACATCCTTCGATTCTTCAGAGGATATCAGTGTTTGCGTTCTATTTGAGGGATTAATGCTTATGCTTATGATCACCCTCAATCCTCCGCTTCTAACAAGTTGGTAGCCGGGTGTCATTCGGCAGTTCGAACCGTCATCAAAAGGATCTTATTTGTAAAAAATGAATAGGAAATATTGTAACATTTTGCGAGTAGCAAGCAACACTGCTTCGGATAATAAGTAAACTCAGCCTGCCAAAGTGAAAAAGATTTTTCTAAGTGTCCGTGCACTGCCAGTACTTAAGAATATATCATGGAACCGCGGCCTGCGTAAATGGCCTCTTAGACCGCTGCGACTAAGCCGTTGAATTCGGAGAAGTGGTAGGAGACTTTCGTCAACATTTCTCAGCTGATTTGTTATAACGTGATTATGCATGACAGACGGAATATGCTTATGGAAATAAACATCTTCTGTCAGCCCAAGCAACATTCATCCGTAGCTGACAGTTTCCGGATTTATTACCGGTGTACACGGAACCCAGTATGATACCCTTCCTTGATTATTGCCCTGCCTTCTGCCATGTGACGTGAAAAGTAGGTTGGCTACCATACTGAGGACTGTTGTACTTGGCGTCATATCGATCGACAGGTACAGGTTCCTATAATTAAGTGAAAAAAGTGCTTAACACGAATTTTGACAGTTGCCGTTGGGGAAACGCCGAGTGGCGAAAATAAACAATTTTGTCAGAGTTACATGTTCGCCTAATGGAGATCGATTTTCGACCACAACTCGCAGCGGTTGGTCGAGTCGGTTGAGTTTCCACCTCAGCGAATTTCCTCGCGCGAAACTGGCAATCTACCACTGCGTTTTTCTGGCGAAGATTTTCGTCAGCGGCGCCTTTTCCT